CTTATAATTTCTAGATTTTTACAACTCATTTGTCGGATGTTTTCTTGTTGTCCCATATCCCCGATTTCGTAGACATCGAAAGTCAATAAATTCGCTCTTTATAGCGGTGTAATTGCGGTTGACCGACATTTCCACTGTCAGAGGTCTAATCTAATTAATAACTTCACAAATAGATTTATTGATAATGATCGCTCAATTAATAACACGTTTGCTTTGCTGTTTTATATGGAGCCCGAATAAGAGGTGTCAATTATTTAAATGGTACCTACATCCGTACAAACATCTTGCTGTTATATATACATACTAGCTGTGCCCGCGACTTCGTACGCGTGTTATAGTGACCTTAACCAAATAAAGAAAAAATATATCATAATCTAAGCCAAAACGATAAAAAAAATTTTCATCGTTCTAGTTTCACAAATGTAGATTTTCCATACAAACTTTCATCTTCCCTTTCAACCCCTTACAACCTTTATTTCGCATTATAGAGTAGCCTATGTCCTTTCTCAAAGTCTAGACTAACTGTGTACCAAATTTCATTTAAATCGGTTCAGTAGGTTTAGCGTGAAAGCGAGACAGACAGACAAACAGACAGACAGACAGAGTTACTTTCGGATTTATATATTATAAATAATAAATAAATAAATAATAATGATAAGGAATAAAAAAATTGTAAGGAAGTAAGGATAAGGATTATAAAAAAAATATATTCGCATCGCACTGTAAGGATTTTCATGCGGCTTGCATACATCAACAGACTGATTGATTTTTAGGGTGCATGATTCTTTAAGGTTTTGCGTAAATTAAGCGAAACTGTTAGTAAGCACAATAAATCCTACTAATATAATAAACGCGTAAAGTTATAAGTATTATGCAAATTTTCATCAAAATATGCAAAGTTTCATCAAAATCGCTTCCGTAGTTTTTGCGTGAAAGAGTAACAATCATCCATCCTTGTTATTTTGATGGATGGATATATATTGATGGATGATTGTTTTGATGAAACTTTGCAGTCATATAGCTTATACATACATATAGCTTATACATACGTAAAAGAAGTAGCTTAGGGTTACTGTAGGACGCTATATTGTTGGAGCGTGAGTCGGGCAATCTACTCGTATGTTCCTGCCATTGGGAGGCTTCCCCATCCTCGTGGCTATGTCCGCGGGGAACAGTGGCCGAGCAATGGTTTGGTTCTGATACGCCCTGGGCGGGATAGTAGTAGTTCCTTCGGGATATTGCTACTATGTCGGCCAATAGTCCAGCGAAGGGGGGCTGCGCAGGCTAGGACAATAGGCCCAGGTGGGGCTCGTCCCGGCCGTTAAGCGTCGCGTTGGTGGCCCGCTCCTGCTATGACTCTACTCTTGTAGAGACACGTGCGGAGTGGGCGCGGCTCTGTGTGGGCAGCAGTCTCAAGGGTTCAAGTGTGCTGCTCACACAACAGGAGCCGAGATGGGGGGGAGGCGCATCCCGTACTCCGGTGCGTTTTTCCCACGGTGGGCGGAGGCGGGAGAACTGGGAAGAGTTCCCCTCACGCGTTGAGGAGGGCCCGCTTGCGGGCAACCGCCGCTGGGGTCGCGGTTGATTGCCAGCTCGATCCCGTGACCCTGGCACTATGGCGGCGAGGAGGAATATCGTGGGGTTTTTGGTGAGTAGGAGTCTCACAGTACCCGTCCGTCCAACCCCTGAGACGGCCGGGTCTCCATGAGGGATTTTCCCCACGTAAAAAAAAAAGGACACTATATCGTTGCGTGATGTTTAATTACTCAATAAAAAATAAAGTAATTTAAAATATTAGCACTTTTAAGGAAACGTACAATCCCTTCAGCTTTAATTTCACGGCCTCGGTGGTCTAGCGATTTACCACACACATTTCTATTCATGAGTATGATTGTTTTGTGTCGCTATGGGTGTTTTTTTATTATGTATTATAAAATATATCTATATCTAGCACCCATAGCACAATCTTTACTTAGCTTGGGACTAGATGGCGCTGTATGTGAATTGTCGTGAAATATCATTAGTATTATTACCACAGATAACATAATATTACCTAGTATTTATATCAGTTGTCTAGTGCCCACAATACAAGTTCTGCTCACCTTAAGACTAGATGGCATTGTGTGAATAGTCATTAGTAACATTTATGTATATTTTACAGCCTGGACAAAGTACACTGCTAGATATTTCAAACAATACGACCCCCCTGAGAATAAGTTAGTACCTTATACTACTATAAGGTAATGTGCTAAGTATTTCATAATTATTCTCAATCAGTAAGTTATATATTTATGACGTTAAGTAATGCAGTTAAGTTACATCTATGTAATGTTAGGTCTGGGGTATAACTTATATTTAACGAGTTATACATTGTTGTCGGCCCCGGTGATCTAGCGGTTAAACACACAGCCTGTCTTCAGATAATCGGGGGTTCCATTCCTTGCAGGATACAAACATTTGTATTCCTGAGAATCTGGTGTTGGTATTATCTATGATTATTGTATATTACATTACATTTACAAATATGTATTTAAGTATTTCCGGTTGTGCCCCGCCGCAGTAATTGGGGCACAACTGGATATTAATTGCCCTAAATAGAATAAAATGGAGATAGATTGAAGGAGGTCTACACAAAAATTTTATGGATTTTGACTTGATAAGAAGGGTTTCCATTAGTCGAGTCTAATCTATTCACAACACAAGCTCCGTTTTGTTCGGGTCTAGAGTACCCTGTGTTATTTAATACAGAAGTATTTAACAACTATTATAGTCAGTTGGTTGTAAAAATTATCAAAATCGTCTATTTTGATAATTTTTCCCGTTAACCATTCTACTTCCTCAAAACTCTTTAGTTAAACAACTAAACTTCAGCCAATCTAAACTTTATAGTTATTGAAATAATTCTATATGTAAATGCATAAAATGATTATGTTCGAAACCGTAGCAAAATGCTGTGTGAATTGTCCTGGGTTATTATTAATAATAATAACTTATTATTATTATTATCTAGAGTAGTCTGTGGCTGACTCTTTCTAACTCATATACATATATTATAAAAAAGTATAAAATATTAGAATCGAAAGTACTTCCACAATTATACGCGTTCATATATTTTTTATTAATATAACCTTTTTTTTGTAGTGAAAATATTGCACTTTCCCTCTCCAAAGTGGGTGTTGGATGTGTGCTAATGCAGAAATAATAGTTTAATAAAAACATACCATATGAAGTCTGTTATTATTATTCATGAGCCACTCTAATTTGAAGTAATAGAAATAAATTGCCGTAAATTGTTAATGATAATGGTTCTGCATTTTAAGTTTTAGATATTACATGTAGTGACTCCAGATTCGTACGTGTATATTTGTATTATATATCGCCATCTATTGATGCTGTGTAAACAATAATAATATCTTTAGCAGCTATGATGGGCCGCTAATATTTAGGATTGTATTGTATGTTTAGCAGCATCACCAGGAAGAAGGAGGTGAAAAGAATGAGACTAAGTTGTGGCTATGTACATGTTTATATTGATGTAATATTTATAGATATTTACAAGAAAGCGATTCGGACTCCACAGGCTTGTTGTTTTCCTCTTAACATCGTAACTAGGCAACGGTGTTGCCACGCGATAATAATAAATTTGCCACATATCTATTTATTTATTTGGGTATTACAAATATTTATATTATTTTTAATGGATGATAATGAAACGGTGCACCCGCATGCGTTAACGGTTTACGCTGGCGGGACACCACTAGAGGATGATAAGATGAGCATGAGCTCAGGTCAGTTAGCACATCGTGGACAATTCACTAGGAATATATTCATGATGGTTTCTAGAAGGAACCGTATGGAGGTTAACCTGATATGGTACATTGCTAGCAATAGGGTTATTAGTCGAGATTACTATGTAATATATTATCTGTGACATTACTAACAGTCCCCTTTCCCCTAAAGCATATATATTTTTAATGGTTTATAATGTAATAAGATCAACATGAGGTCAGGTTATAGATAGCCCATGGCGACAAATTCACTGGAAATATATCATGATGGTTTCCAGAAGGAACCCCAAGGAAGTCCACCTGACATGGTACACTGTTAGCGTGGGATTATTACTCCATTACTTACCATCTTCCACCCCTAAAGCATTTATTATACGATACTACCATATATGGGCGCTGGTTCACTTCCTCGCACGTTCTAAACATTTGTGTCCATGATTATTTGGTCAGTCGATAGGATACCTTATAAGGGGGCGACTGCCTGGAGGTCGAATTGATAGGGTACATTGCTATCAATAGGGTTACTAGTTCCCATTACTAACAATGCCCACTCTCCAGCATTATCTCTTACCATTAGGTGGACCTTCAGATTGTTTACATTTCATGTATAAAAAGAGTATTCGTAGTCTTTGTTGCAATATATGGGAGAGAAATATAATGCTATAAATGCTGAGAAGAATAAGTTTTTCGTTCTATCATAATATTATAAACTTCATTTAATATTGAGTTTATACATCTACAAATAAAAAAATATCCGTATTAATCTTTAAGAAAAATCCTATTTTATGATAATTATATTTCATAAATGAAAATAAACAATTCAGAGTTTCAAGGAATATACTTATTTAAATTCTTTGTTTCCGTAAACAAGAGATAAATCTCACTTCGCAGTCGGAAATGTACGTAGATACCTACACGAATTCCACGTAATCCGGTCTAATCCAGTAATTAGCCCGACCATCCGACTAATTGGCCAACAAAGAAAAGCTACACATGTATTATACAACTCTCTAATGTACAATCTGTATTGCAGACGCTTTCCAGTAATAGAATTGCCATCACACTCATACATATTCCGCCAATGTACGGGAAAATAGCCCCAGTATGAGTTTTTTTTTCATAGATAACGTTCGATGTATTGTCAAAAATGCAACGGTGTGCAAGCTATGCAGCCTGCCCAAGTCAACACAAGTTCAAGAGTAAGCACGCGACTCGGCGAATGCCACAATCGTCGCAGACTTCGAACCGCTCACACGTTCACGTGTATCGCGATCCTGTAACCGTCACATTACGAAAATAACAATCGAGTGTTATTCGTATACAACAATTTTAAAATTTGAAGTGTTTCCTTTTATTTTTAATTTTGGCGCCCAGCGGCGAGTCGAAGGGAAAGATGCGAAACTGCCTATGGTGAGTACTGAATTTATTAAAGTTACATAAGGAGTTTAACCCTTAACCGAGGGTTATCGCTGGGTATTGCACTCTAACATCGTAAAATGTCCTGAACAACGAACAGTCCTGTGGTCGTTACTTTTTACAGCCGTGTTAATAGAGTCTTTTAGCAATATTCTCCGCGAAGATGAATAGTCGAATAACAAGAAGGTGTGGAAATCTTTAACATCCTCATTATTTATTTATGGTCTTTTTATGGCGAGAATTTTATCAAGTACATGTAAAACAACAGTATACTTAAACAATTTATTAAAAAAAATATTTATATTCCATCTGATATGAAGAGGTATAAATTGATTTTGAAATAGGTAGAGGCACTAAAAATTGTACCTTTGTTTATAAGGAAATGTACGGTTAAGTTAAAACAGTACATAATAAGTAGTATGTAGTGTAAGTATATTATTAACGCATTCATTTATTAACAATCTCAATGCTGGCCACCCCACATATAAACAATGCAATCGCTATGATTTCTCATGTCGATAAAAACGCGTGTGAAACCGAGCACCGAACCGATTATAATTTAACGTCGACGGTGTAAGCTATGCAACCTATTTTGGATGATTTTTAAAAATTCTCAATTATAATCATTTTTCACTTTCCGTGAAAAAAAAACGCTTATTATAAAAATCACTTATATATTGTCACTTAATCACTTATATTACTTGTTTCATTGTCATATTTCTCAATTTGTCAAAAGGATTATAAACTTCATAAATAACTAATAAATATATAGATTCTACATTTTAACGTAGTTTTTGATAGGTAATTTGAGAATCAGTGTCAGATTCAGACAAAATAACTATTGTTTATTAAAAATCTAGTACTTTTGTACAATGCATAAAATTTTATACAGTTTTGTTAATACATTTTTTAGCAATTACTCTACAATAAAGGTATCCGTTATCTGTATTATCACAGAATACTTTATTGTATCTCTTCCTTTACTAAATAAATTTCATTTGAACTTGTAAAAAAAATATTACGTGAAACCAAAATTTACGAAAACTGCGCGGTCAGAGGGGTATGACATTACGCACATTTATCTTATATATAAAATTCTCGTCTTATATATAAAATTCTCGTTTCACAATTTTCGTTCCCATACTCCTCCGAAACGGCTTGACCGATTCTCATGAAATTTTGTGAGCGTATTGAGCATATTGAGGTCTGAAAATCGGCCAACATCTATTTTTCATCCCCCTAAATGTTAGGGGTAGTCCGCACCTAACATACAAAAATACATACAATCCTAAATTTTCACCCTTCTATCATCAACCCCTATTTTTATAGCGTTATTAATTTATATGGCAAAACAACGTTTGCCGGGACAGCTACTGTTCATATAGAAAAGAATTTTATGTTGAATTATGCGTAAAAAATACATTAAATAAATAAAAAATACACACACTACCATTATATTCCACGACTATTAACAAAACGTCAATGTCAATATTGTTTTATTTTTAATATTATTAAAGTTAAAATAATATTTAATTTTAATAATGTTTTAATTGTCAAATCAGCGAATCGAGGTTTGATTCTGTGCTGTTATCAAAGTAATCTACATATAATATATGTGATGCAAGTCTTTGACAATAGAACCTTAATAATGTCCAGACTTGTAAATTAAATTAATTATAGTTGAATTTCGATCACTGGACGACCAATATCTAAAATAAATTTGTGATATTGTCTCTTTGCTCTATCACTTTTATTACGTTCGTGATTTTGCCCCATATTTTGTGGGATCCACGGAACAATGTTAAGTAAATTGTATCCCAAGTGCACTTGGACCACAGTCACGACTTGCATGGTTTTGTGGGTCAGTCACGAGAAATCCTGAAACTGCAAGGTGAACTACTATTGCAGCCAAGAAATCTTTTTTTGTAATTATTAGACCATAGGTCGAAACGTACATATGGTCTAATAATTACAGAAATATCCAAATTTTACTTTGTATATACACTTTAATTTTTAGTGTTCGTACGACGAAACTTATTTTAAGTTTGTTACTGTAGTTGAGTCATATTAAAAAAATATTTTTTGAAAATTATTTATTAATTAAAAAAAAAAACATAAATGATATTTCGGCTATTGGAAGGTTGATTCTTTGGGTACAACAGTATCTAAAGCAAATCTTTAATTATTTAAATCTTACTAATATTATAATATAAAGGCGAAAGTTTATGAGTATGGATGGATGGTTGGATGTTTATTACTCTTTTACGCAAAAAGTACTGAACGGATTTTGATGAAACTTTACACTGATATAGCCTATACCGTATAAACTATAATTTAAGAAGATATTATGTAAATTGGGCGAAATATAATGATAAGTAAGTACAGAAGAAGTGCGGGTCAGCTTATTAATATATTTATTGATTATTAGTAGCGATATTTTTTTTAAACTACTATTACTAGAGTTATACTAATAATATTATACTTTTACTACTAAAAGCATTTAAGACTATATCGCATTAATTTGTTATATATATAATTATAAAACAATTAAATATTAATTTGGCTGCAACCAACCCCTTTGAGATGTTATCAGCCCTTGAACAATATCATGTTACATGTATAGATATTGTAATTAGAAAATAATTTTACACTTCGTAAGTTAATTTTATTACTAAATCCTTGATAGAATTTTGTAATTATAAACTAGGTATATACGGCGTATTCGTTCGCGTAAAAATAAAGTAAATAAATTTTCTAAAATAAAAGTTACTCTTTGGCGGCTATTTTTTAACGTTCAGTAAGCTAGTGTAACCTAGGAGAAACCTCTAAAGAAAGAGGTAAATACCTTTATTTACCATAAATTATTCGTGTTAGAATCCGTTTAACTATGTATAGTAATAATACTTGGCGGGTGCCGTAATTACAGGTTAACTAAATACTGTAAGCGTTGCAAACGACTTTTTTACAGTCTATAAACCAAATTATTTAGTAACTAACATTCAAATATATTTTTTACGTTATTATGGTTGATTATTTAGTCTTTTTTATTGAGGATAATGGAATGGAATTATGAACCCGCTTGCGCTAACGGTTTAAGCTGGCGGGGCACCAGTGGACGAGATAAAATGAGCATGAAGTCAGGTTCGTTAGCCCATCTTGGCAAATGACAATTTACCACGAGGGTTTCCAGGGGGAACTGCGTGGAGGACAACCGCAATGGGGTTATTAATCCATATTACTGACAACCCCCTCCCTGATTTTAACATTCTCAGGGATATGGCGGCCATATCATGTGTTATGTTCAAAACGACGTTAACCTCTGAAAGTGCCTATCCTAGTTGGTATTATAGTCGTAAGGATGGTTAGGTAGGCTTTTTAATAGACTTGGTAGATAATTGATTTTTTTAATAGATGCATGAGTGGAGTGATGTGTCCGTCTGCGTCTAAAGGCAGTAGATACACTAGTAGAGCATCAATGGACCGTGTTACGATGAGCATGAAGTTAGGTCAGTAAGTCCATCTAGACCAAATCACCAGCTTTAAATCATGTCTATTTAAAGTGCGGATCGCGTGGAGGTCGACTGACATGTACATTGCTAGCAAAGAGACCATTAACTCCCATTCCTAACAATCTCCAACCCAGGTAGTTAGGTAGTTAATATAACTAGGATTACACATAATTATACATTACAGTCAAGTGAATTATTACACCGTAGTTAAGTGATATTTATGTAATAAGTTTAGTACTGATACTAATGTATAGTAATTATATTCATACTAAAATTATAAATTTTAAAGTTCTCTCTGCCTGTTAAATTTTTGCTACAAAATGGCTGTAGGGATCTTAATTTAATTTCACATGAAGATGACTAGATATCAAAATAACGAATGTATGCTATGTTTAAAAAAGCAAACAAAGTCGCGAGTAACAGCTAGTATAAATAATTACAATTATTACAAACATCGGTACTCTTACATTTAATACTTAGAAAATAAATATGTCGCGTTGTATCTACTTTTGATACAGATGTCATTTTTTTTAAAACCACGATGGTGGCAAACAAGCATCAGATGGACCCTAGTTCATCTGATGGTAAACCGCTACCTTAGCCTTTTTTATATATTCTTTTTATCGTATATCAAGCAATCTATAATATTTATTTCATTAAAAACGGTTCTCAAAAAAAAAATATACCATCGTATTTTTTTTTCAATGGATGGTGATTAGTAATAAGATTTCAATAAATATGATTTGACATAGGTTTTAAACCTCTTTGTCTTGTTTGTTTTTTTTTTTTTATCATTTTATACAAAATTGTATTTTCTGTGAGAGGAACAATAAAGAGTTTCATTCATTCATTCATTAAATTTATTTAAATTCCAGTATATTCTTTGGTAATTTTTTGTAAATTTTTATACCCATTCCAATAAATATATCTACTATTACTACATACTATCGCATTTCTAATGTCATGGGATCAGTTACTATGTAATAGACATTGTCAATAGACATAACGTTCAACATAAATGAACCCTGTGAGGTGGCATAATATCACGAAGGTTGCTAATTTATTCACGAGTCATAATAGCTGTGATCATTAAACCCATATTCCTGCTCAGAACTGCTCGACCGAATCCTGTTTTTTATCCATTTCCGCTTAGTTAATGCGAGAACTGCGATTTTTTCATATCTCTGGGCTACGCAATTAGGTACACTGCATGTATTTACAGATTAAAAATGTACAAGATATATGGGAATGGTATTTTTCTAACGTTTATAAGGTAATCTGTACTAATATTAGAAAGTAAAGTGAAAAGTAAAAAAAGAAATATTTATTAATATTAAATATTTTTTATAACTATGGACGGAAATTTAATAAACTTACTACTATACATTGAATAAATTCCAAAGGTAATACATACATGTATTGAAAAGGGTACAAAATTGTAAAATTCATTTAAATAATAGTAAAAAATCAAATACTAAGTGTTAA